CAGTGAGAAGGGGCCTCAGCCTGCACCAACTGAAGTAAACCAAAGGCATTTTAAAAAGCAGCTGAGAAAGCACGTTGATCGAGAGTGTCCAGGGCAAATCAAGACAGTTGGACTACATGATATAGGCCTTAATATTTTAATGTTATTTCCCTTGCAGTAATGCTTAGTGAATTAATTAAAAGAAGTCAAATAGGAAACTCATGTGCTGCTCTAAGAAAAAGGAAATGAGTAAATGAAAGGGTGGTGACTGGTGAGGACTAGGACATGACTAACAGACTGATTTCAAACTTGTCTTATTTAGAATTAAATGCGATTTTAAGGTAAACAGATTTCATATCTTGCCAGTGGAGACAAGTATTGAAGTTGGGGGAACTGGGGTGTTAAATAAAGAATGTAGAATTGTATTAATAGTACAGTTTGCAAACTTTAATTTTGAACTGAAAGCACCAAAACCCTTCATCCTGCACAACCACCACATTATTTATTTATTTAATATTTATCACATCAGAAGCAAGTTGAGGGTACAGTTAAAATGCATTTAAAAACACAAAAGTTAAAAGAAACTTGGCATTATGCTAAATGTCCTTTGACCAGAAGCTGGCCACTTGGAGTGCCTCTGGGGTCTCTGTGAGTAGGTCCTCCATTGTGCATATGGCAGGGCTCAGACTGCATTGTAGTAGGTGGTCTGTGGTTTGCTCTTCTCTGCACTTGCATGTCGTGAACTCCACTTTGTAGCCCCATTTCTTAAGGTTAGCTCTGCATCTCGTGGTGCCAGAGCACAGCCTGTTCAGTGCCTTTCAGGTCGCCCAATCTTCTGTGTGCCCAGGAGGGAGTTTCTCATCCGGTCTCAGGCACTGATTAAAGAGCTGGGTTTTAACCTGCCACTTTTGGATTCTTGCTTGCTGAGGTGTTCCTGCGAGTATCTATCTCAATCTTAGGAAGCTGTTTCTTGATGTAAGCCTTTAGCATGCGGGCTGATATCCAAACAGAGGATGGGCCTTGGTCCCTTCATTATTGGCTGCTACTCCCCAACAGATGTCAGGTAATGCAAAACCGACTAAACAGTATAATTTCTCTAGCAGTGTTGGGCATAGACATCTTGTGATAATGCAGCATGTCTCATTAAGAGCTCCATCCACTGTTTTAACATGGTGAGATGTATTCTACAGCGGGCATGCATATTCAACAGCAGAGTACCAAAGCGCAAGGGCAGATGTCTTCACTGTATCTGGTTTTGATTCCCCAGGCTGTACCAGTCAACTTTCATACGATGTTCTTTCTAGCACCCACTTTTTGCTTGATATTCAAGCAGTGCTTTTTATAAGTCAGAGCACAGTCCATTTTGGTGTGCTGCAATGCTCCAGTGGGATTCCTTCCTGGATAATCCTCAGAGCTCAAGATGCTTGTCTGTTCTTAAGATGAAAAGCACACTTCTGCATTTTAGATGGATTAGGAATTAGCTGGTTTTCCCTGTAATAGGCAGTAAGAGCACCTAAAGCTTTGGAGAGCTTTTGTTCAACCATTTCAAAGCTCCCTGCTTGAGTGGTGATGGCATGATTGTCAACATATATGAAACTCTCTGTCCATTCTGGCAGTAGCTGGTCATTTGTGTAAATGTTAAACATTGATGGAGCAAACATTGATGGACTTGCAGTATGCAACCAGCCACATAATTTGCAACCATTGTGCTAATTCATCTTATAAGTAGTGGTGAAAGAGCATTATCCAAGCAGGACAAATGTACCTAAAGATGGAAAAAGCCCCATGGTTCAGATTCACATTTGCCCTGCCTATTTATCGGGAAAGATAAATAGCACTACAATGGACTGCAATAATTTGCCACGGATTAAGTTGATTTCTATTGATGTATTTCAAAAAATAACTACACTGAGTATAATTGCTGTTATCTGGTATCCTGCATTGATTCGGCACTCTTCAGAATTTTACATGAAGTCAGGAATGAAAGAATGAAGTTATTGGTGGTGGGCGAAACGGATAGGGTAAAAGCAATCTGTTTGCTACTGAGTTATTTAAGGAACCTTTTGCTTTAGTAAATTCCTTTCCTAAAAATAGCTCTATGATTAATCCTAGAAACCTCACTGTTGTCTCCATTCATGTGACTCAGATGAATGCGCGATTTTACAGAAACAAACCATATTTTCCATTTGGGGCTCCCTTCACTCAGTTCCTGACTTAACACTTTTGTGACACTACTTATTTCACATTCAGTTTGTGATTATTTTGCATCCCTTTCTATTCTTCCATGTTCTGAACTCCAAGTGAATATGGACTCAAATATCTTCCTGTGAAATTGGCTTTAGGATTTCAGATTGGTTGGCTGCACATTTTGTTTCTCGGTCTCTTGTGATCCACTTGTCTTAAACACCTTCGGTTTATGATCTAGGAAACTTGAAAAATAAATCCACAGCTTATTCAAAGAACAAACTGCCCTTATATGCTGTGATGTAGGTCATTTCCACATGATGGTGCTGGAGTTATTTTTTAAAGACTTAATTTTCTTTCCATCCTGCCTACTGTGTGTGCTGCCTACTGTGCAGTATTCCGAATCTTTCTGTTTAACTGTTAAGCAGAAGAGCTGGGATTTCTGCCGTTGATGCTTTCTGCAACTAATGTTTTTAAAGTTTATAAAATTAGTGTATTGAAAATATTCCTCATTATGTTGAAGCAATATGTCTTTATATTTCAGACGTGAGGCAAGAATTATAAATAAGAAAGAGAGCCAAATAAGACAAATCACCAGGTCTTCTTTGAAATCGCTAGCCTGGATTTTCTTCCCATTGCCTTTCAGTCTGCTACTGACCTGAGAACTGGACAACTATGCCTGGATGGCACATCCATCTGTTGGTTCTTGCCTTCCTTATACTCTGTCCTTTTCTTACAGTACAACACAATTTCAGTCTGGTTGGTTAAAGAAGGCAATGAATAATAAAAATAATAATAATCCTGGTTGTTGTGTACTAATCTTTTTTGTCATGTATCAAATTATTATTAATTTAATTAATTAATTAATTTTCACCCTGCCCAATCTTCCCGAGGGAACTCAGGGCAATTTCCAACAAAAGTAACAAAATGGCAAACATTCAATGCCGAAAACAGACAATGATAAATCAAATTGAAACAATGGATAAAACAATCTCAAAATAAACTTATAAAACTAAATAAAATGAATACATAATTGAACTTAAATAAACATAGTATAACCCATCACATACAATTTCTGCAGGCTGAAGTGGGTGTCCAATTTCTAAGTGAAGATAGATAGATAGATAGATAGATAGATAGATAGATAGATAGATAGATAGAGGTGTACTAGTCTTCCTCCTCTCCATATGCTAAGGTATATAAATGAGTATGGCAGAATACCTGAAGTCAATAGACAGGAGAATTTATTTTCTGCTATTGTTTACAGCTCATACTCTGCAATTCATGCACATGCAGTTCACCGGCCTGGAGTATTTTAGATAGTCTTTGTCCACATTTGCATACTATTGCCAATGTTTAATGAGTGAGGCACCACAGTTGTGATGCGGTGTGTCCTGATTTCACATTTTTCTGTGGCTTACAGGGTTGCAATAGTGTGGCAACAGGCTTCCTTGCCTTTGAAATCTGAAGAAGTGACCTAATAGCTGGAGGTTTTACAATTACACTGTCTTGGTGCAAGGAAATACTGGAATTGTTGCATTCATAGGCCTAGGACCTGTAGCTGGCTTTTATTGTACAAAGTTCTCTGCCTTGTCCACATACTTTCATCAGGGAGGAATCTTTTATTTATAAAGATCATGTGTTTTCCCACAACCTTTTATTTCTTATCATGCAAAATTTATTAAGGGGGGCAGAATAGAAAAGCTATACAATGATATCTTTTGGCTGATAGTGCCAGGAGGTCTCTGTTTGAAAGAAACGGCATGTAAAGAAATGGGTGTAAAAATTATGGGTTGTCGGGAAATGCAAGCTGTTTTTTTAAAAAAAAAATCAGGTCCTTTTTATAGTTGTGTGTACATCTTTAAAAGGTTGTGCTGAAGGCAGCAATCCATTCCTTGTTGTTTAACAATAGTCATTAAGAGTGTTTACTCCATCTTCCTCTTTCAGATTTAGTCCTTTTGTGTGTCACAATAAACCATGGTTTATGTTTCCTTCTTAAACTACAAATTGCACAGCACAGTAAAATAAACTGTGACTAGTATATCCCACCTCTGATTAGTGTATTGCTTGCTTTTCTTCTGATCCTTTTATCAGGGTGAGAATCTGGGGAAAGAAGTCAACATCAACAACAAGAATAGTTTCAAGTTTTGACTGAAATAAGCCATGGTTTATGCAAGCCACAGTTTGTGATCTATCACAAACTATGGTTTGGTAGGAGTACTAATTTCACAAGAAAATAGACTGGAGCAAAGTATACATTTGCTTGTTATGACATGTCATGTGACCACAGTCAAGAATATTTTCAAAATGGAGAAGTTGGTGATGCGTATAATATTCTACTCATTTGTTGTTTTAGTTTAGTAGATGACAATAAGCCTCGCCACTGCCAATTCAAAGACTTAGATAAGGGAGGAACTGCAGAAATTATCCAAGTTGGGGCTGTGATAACATTAGTATTAATAAAACAACATATTTCCCAAAGGCCTCAGGATATTTGCAAAAGGATTCCTAAATAGTCTTGGAGCTATTTTCAAGGAGTATTATTCAAACATATCCTTGATATGCTTGTGAGGATTTGCAGAATTATAAAGGAACTCCTTGGAGCAGCAAAATGATTTGTGCCAACAAGGTTGTACCAAAGGTAGGCACAAATAACTGGTTATATAAAGAGTAAAATAAAGGATGTCTTATTCTTTCCTATTGGAACCAGTTGTATCTAAACTCTGTTATGATACAAATGATTGAGGAAAAGCTTGGGTTTATACTTACATTTTGATGTGTATTTTGCAGATATATATATATATATATATATATATATATATATATATATATATATAATGGATAACATTCCAGAAGGTCCTGAACCTGAATCCGGTGCCTCACCTGAAGCTAGCCCAGCAAAGAAAGGAAAAATTAAAGGTAAAGGTAAAGGTAAAGGTAAAGGATCACCCAAGGCTAAACGAAGTCCAAAAGCATCACCAAAAGCATCACCAAAAGCTTCTCCAAGAGCATCTCCAAAAGCATCTCCGAAAGCTTCACCAAAAGCTTCACCAAAAACATCACCAAAAGCAGCGCGTAAAGGGACACCCAAACGAAAGCAAAAATCTGCTGGTGAGTATCAGACTGGGTAGAGGAAGGGAGGGAGACAGCTTGCACGTAGAGGAGAAATGGTTTTTTTTGTGAAGTTTGTGTATATTTTATTGCAGATTCTCAGTGATTGTCTGTACTATCAGGACTTTTCAAACCTTTTCCTTTCACTTTTCTGAAGAATTTTTTATGTGAACCTGGATATATAGTTATATAAAAAGGTATACAAATCAAACATTTACTGATAATATATCATAAAGAAAATTATTTTAAAACAATTCATTGGTATACCTATAACATTTAAAACAGATTAAAATGAACTGGTATAATAATGAGATATGTGTATTTGTTTATGTTCACATTAATAATGAAATCTTGGCAGAATATTTTATACTGCATGATGTAGAGTGTCTTCAACATTTTTCATACCATACTGGCATCCAGCCCTATACTTCGTTGACTCTCCTTTTTTCTCTATATTTAGGGACCACAATGGGGTGTTTGGGGGGTTCTTACCTACAAATTAAAAGGTCCCGTATTGCACAGTAGGCCATGTGCCTGAAACAGAGCCATACCTACTTTCCTCTTGTTCTCATAATGGTTTCATAGAATCACCAAATCACAGAGTTGGAGGAGACCCCAAGGGCCATCCAGTCCAACCTCTTATTGTCTTTTTTTATTTTATTCATTTTTATAAGATTTTCCTTTACAGTGAAAGAGGGGAAACAATCATTGTGATAGAAAGATATGAAATTTTGGACAGACCGTGAGGGAAAGACAGATAGAAAGGGAAGGAAGAAATGAGGAGCAGGGTAGAAATGGTAGAGGAAGGTAGGGGGAGGGTAAAGGGTAGACATGTGTGCGTTTGTTTCCGTTCAGTCCACAGAGGAGTAATCAACTCACTATATAGTTCTTTTCATTCCAGTTAAGATTCCTGTTCTTCTTGCCCATAGAACCTTATATGTCCAATTTAATTTTATCTTTCAAGTATTCTTCCAGGTATTTCCAATAAGTTTGTTTAGCCTTACTCTGGTCCTCTAATTGATACGAAAGTCTATCTGAGTCCTTAAAAGGAGCCAACTCCTATTGTCAAGCAGGAACAACCAGTCAAGGCCCTCCTAATAGACTGCAATCCAGTCTCTGTTTAAAAGCCTCTAGAGCAGTGGTTCTCAACCTGTGAGTCGCCAGATGTTTTGGCCTTCAACTCCCAGAAATCCTAACAGCTGGTAAACTGGCTGGGATTTCTGGGAGTTTTAGGCCAAAACACCTGGGGCAGGCCTGTAGCGGGGCGGGGGTGTTAGGGGTTCAACCCCCCCCCCCCAATTTTTCAGGTTAAAAAACCCTACTTTTTTGGCTACTTTTGGCCTTACTAACCTTGCATTTTTTGTTGTTCATTCGTTCAGTCATCTCCGACTCTTCATGACCTTATGGACCAGCCCACGCCAGAGCTCCCTGTCGGCCGTCACCACCCCCAGCTCCTTCAAGGTCAGTCCAGTCACTTCAAGGATGCCATCCATCCATCTTGCCCTTGGTCGGCCCCTCTTCCTTTTGCCTTCCACTTTCCCCATCATCATTCCCTTCTCTAGGCTTTCCTGTCTCCTCATGATGTGGCCAAAGTACTTCAACTTTGTCTCTAGTATCTTTCCCTCCAGTGAGCAGTCGGGCTTTATTTCCTGGAGGATGGACTGGTTGGATCTTCTCGCAGTCCAAGGCACTCTCACAACTTTCCTCCAACACCACAGCTCAAAAGCATCGATCTTCCTTCGCTCAGCCTTCCCTAAGGTCCAGCTCTCACATCCGTAGGTTACTACAGGGAATACCATGGCTTTGACTAGGCGGATCTTTGTTGCCAGTCTGATGTCTCTACTCTTTACTATTTTATCGAGACTGGACATTGCTCTCCTCCCAAGAAGTAAGCGTCTTCTGATTTCCTGGCCACAGTCTGCATCTGCAGTAATCTTTGCACCTAGAAATACAAAGTCTGTCACGGCCTCCACATTTTCTCCCTCTATTTCCCAGTTGTCAATCATTCTTGTTGCCATAATCTTGGGTTTTTTTGATGTTTAGCTGCAACCCAGCTTTTGCGCTTTCTTCTTTCACCTTGATTAGAAGGCTCCTCAGCTCCTCCTCGCTTTCGGCCATCAGAGTGGTGTCATCTGCATATCTGAGGTTGTTCATGTTTCTTCCAGCAATTTTCACCCCAGCTTTGCATTCATCCAGCCCCGCACATCGTATGATGTGTTCTGCATACAAGTTAAAAAGGTTGGGTGAGAGGATGCAGCCTTGCCGTACGCCTTTCCCAATCTTGAACCAGTCTGTTGTTCCGTGGTCAGTTCTGACTGTTGCTACTTGGTCCTTATACAGATTCCTCAGGAGAGAGACCAAGGTGGCTTGGTATCCCCTCACCACCAAGAACTTGCCACAATTTATTATGATCCACACAGTCAAGGCTTTAGATAGTCAATGAAACAGAAATAGATGTTTTTCTGAAACTCCCTGTCTTCTCCATTATCCAGTGGATATTGGCAATCTGGTCTCTTGTTCCTCTGCCTTTTCTAAACCCAGCTTGAACACCTGGCAACTCTCGCTCCATGTATTGCTGGAGTCTTCCTTGCAGACCAAGCGTGATCCCTGGGGAAGGCAACGGCAAACCACCCCAGTATCCTTGCCAAGAAAACTAAATGAACCAGTACAACCAGAGATATGTCGGTATGCCATTGGAAGATGGGACTCCCAGGTCGGAAGATGGCCAAAATGCTACTGGGGAGGAGCAGAGGATAAGTTCAACTAGCCCCAGATGTGATGACGCAGCTAGCTCAAAGCCGAAAGGAAGGCTAGCGGCCGACGGTACTGGAGGTGAACGACGAATCCGATGCTCTAAAGATCAACACACCATAGGACCCTGGAATGTAAGATCTATGAGCCAGGGCAAATTGGATGTTGTTATTGGGGAGATGTCAAGACTAAAGATAGACATTCTGGGGGTCAGCGAACTGAAATGGACTGGAATGGGCCACTTCACATCAGATGATCACCAGATCTACTACTGCGGACAAGAGGAACATCGAAGAAATGGAGTAGCCTTCATAATTAATAAGAAATTTGCTAAAGCAGTGCTTGGATACAATCCAAAAAATGACAGAATGATCTCAATTCGAGTGCAAGGAAAGCCTTTCAACATTACAGTGATCCAAATATACGCCCCAACCACAGCTGCTGAAGAAGCAGAAGTAGATCAGTTCTATGAGGATCTGCAGGACCTACTGGATAATACACCAAAAAGAGACATTATTTTCATTACAGGAGACTGGAATGCCAAGGTGGGAAGTCAAATGACAACTGGGATCACAGGCAAGCATGGTCTGGGCGAACAAAATGAAGCGGGACGCAGGCTGATAGAATTTTGCCAGGAAAACTCGCTGTGTATAACAAACACTCTCTTCCAACAACCTAAAAGACGGCTTTATACATGGACTTCACCAGATGGTCAACACCGAAATCAGATTGACTACATCCTTTGCAGCCAAAGGTGGCGGACATCCATCCAGTCGGTGAAAACAAGACCTGGGGCTGACTGTAGCTCAGATCACGAACTTCTTATTGCCCAATTCAGAATAAAACTAAAGAGATCAGGGAAAATACACAGACCAGTTAGATATGATCTCACTAACATTCCTAGCGAATATACAGTAGAAGTGAAGAACAGATTTGAAGGACTAGATTTAGTAAACAGAGTCCCAGAAGAACTATGGACAGAAGTCCGAGACATTGTTCAGGAGGCGGCAACAAAGTACGTCCCAAAGAAAAAGAAAACCAAGAAGGCAAAATGGTTGTCTGCTGAGACACTGGAAGTAACCTTGCATACCTTGTATCTTATACCTTTTATGGAGCAATAAGGGTCTTTGGACTATATTAAAAATGTTGTTGTTGTGTTATCGAACTACTCTTCATGATTTGCTAAAAAAAAGTTTCAACCCCACCCCCCCACCCCCAATTTTTTTTTCTGGTTACGGCCCTGGGTAACCCACAGGTTGAAAACCACTGCTCCAGAAAAAGTCCTAGATCTATAGTCCTAGATCTATAGCACGTTTCATTTGTTTTTTAAATCACTTTAACAACTTAGCTAGACTTAAAAAGTCTAGCTATTTGGCGAGACTAGTTACAATTATTTTGCAAATTCAGACTATAATTGCCAGCATTGTAATGTTAGTTTCTGTTTTGGTCACATTGAGAATATTGTGTGTCTAATTGCCATTCCTCTGTCTGAAGAAGGGGGGATATTAGCAGTCTAAATCAGCAAAGTACTAGAGCACTATCAGAAAAAGGAGGGGCTGAAGTGTCTGGACATTTTCTTTTAATTTGGAGAAGATAGAAATTCTTGGATGGTGGACAGATTTTGTAATTATGAACAGAAAGGGGATTTCCCACCCAACCCCATGTCATAATGCTAGGATGAACCAGATAAGAGAAGAAAATTATATTTTACAGATGGATTTTTCTACTTTTTGGTAAGAAGATTGCTTCTATAGTTTAGGATTTAGATGGTAAAAGAGCTTTCAAAAAACATCTTTCGACTATTCAAAGGCTACTATCTGGATAGCTCAGAGGTGGCATGATGACACGATTCCTCCACCTCTTTCTGCTATTGTCATTTCTAAATTGCCTAAATTGCACTGTACACAGAGCAGTATTGTACTTGGAAGTAACATCGTAAGTTATAGTTACAACATGTAATTTCTAGCTGTTTTCAAGAATTATCTTTCACGAGATTTTTTAGACATGGCAATATCGACCAGGCATGGGCAAACTTGGGCCGTCCAGGTGTTTTGGACTTCAACTCCCACAATTCCAAACGGCCACAGGCCCCTTCCAGCTTAAGGGGAAAAGGAAAGGGCCTGAGATTGTTAGTAATTGTGGGGGTTGAAGTCCAAAACACCTGGCTCAAGTTTGCCCGTGCCTGGTATAGACCATTGATCTGATGCTGCAGGACTCTTTTTCCGTTCTTATATTGAGACCACTTTTTCTCATTTCAGCCAAAAAAGAAGATGAATCCGATCTGTCTATGGCAAGCATGGGTAAGTTTTATGAGTGACTAGTGTTCAGAATGCATGGAGGCCATCAGTAATGTGGAAATTGGGGAGGTGACCTTTCTCTTCTCTAGCTGCAGGAGTGGGGCATGGAATCAATAAAACACAACACTGCAGAAAGTGTGATGGTCTGAGGACTTTTGGAGACCAGGATTCAAATCCCAGCTCAACCATAGAAGCCCACTGGGCAACCTTGGGCAAGATGCATTTATTCCAGTCCTAGTAAAGGCCAATGTCAAACCCTCTCCAAGACCTGAAAACTCTCTGATAATGTCACCATAAGTCTGACTCGACTTGAAGGTACATAATATCATTTTTTCTGTGTGTGAGGAGCGACTTGAGAGACTGCAAGTCGTTTCTGGTACGAGAGAATTGGCCGTCTGCAAGGACATTGCCCAGGGGATGCCCGGATGTTTGATGTTTTACCATCCTTGTGGGAGGCTTCTCTCATGTTCCTGCAAGGGGAGCTGGAGCTGGCAGAGAGAGCTCAACCCGCTCTCCTCAGATTCGAACTGCTAACCTGTCAGTCAGCAGTCCTGCTGATACAAGGGTTTAACCCATTGTGTCACTGGGGGCTCCATAATGGCAAAGATTACAAGCATTTTCATAGTAATGGTGCTGCATGTAGCAAATTTGTTGTTATGTTTCACTTTAAAAGCAAACAAACTACAAACAACATTGTAAACGCCTTCATCTTGTGAAATTATTTTGGTCAGCCATCCGAGTGTGAGGAATTTCTCATTCCCTTTCAGAGTTCAGTGAATAACTGCAGTGCAGCAGGTACAAGGAAAGGCCAGAAATGAAAAGAGCTTAAAGGATTTATCAAATGTAACATATTACATTATAGATGTTTGCTGAGGGATTTAGATTCCTGGATGAGAGAGATTAAAATAGGATTTATTGTTTTGTCAGTTCTACAACAGGATTTTGAAGGAGTGGATACACCCTTGAAGCATGTGTACCTAAGCTGATCAGTATTCTCTAATTTAAAATTAATTTGGCTCCATAAATAGCCTCAAATATGTTTATCTGTAGTTCATTCTCTCGGAAACATCCAATCAGAACCCAACTGGAAACCATTACCTAAAGGACCTTTGCATTGGACTCTTATATCTATGTCTTTTAATGTATATGTTTAAATGGTCTTATGTTTTATCTATGTACTGTATTTTAACTGTGTTGTACCCTGCCTCGAGCTATGAGGAAAGTCAGTTGTTATTATTATTATCATCTTCATCACCACCACTACACTGCCACCACAGTCATAATCAATGGTTGGCTCACCAAGTACAATATGGCAACAGATAGCCTGTGTGCATTGCATTCTGCATCCATTCATTAGGATGGAAGACCCATGAGGGTAACCATGGGCAAAAGTGACTAAGACTTCTGCACCTTTAATAGTTGATTAGAAGATTGGATTTCAGTCAATTTATTTTGCAGGCTACATTTCTTCTAAGTATCTTTCTCCATGCAGGAATTAAAGGTGCTCCAGAAACTTAGACTCAACACATATAGGAGGCAATTTATCCACCCATTACAGGCCACACAGAGTACTTTGCAGTTTGAAAATGTGCCACGCATCATTTATTTAGTTCTATACAACATCTGATCTAGCTGCAGGTGTCCCAAGGTAAAGTCTTGTTGTCAGTTTGCACCAATAACGGGAGCATAAACTTCTCACACCATGGCTAGAAAGAGAAGGCAAATGGAGTAATATAATATCACTTTTCAGCAGCATGTCATTTTTGGGTGTTGAGAACCTAAATAAAAGGAGAAGCATGAGGGAAAATGGAGCATAATACTTCCATGAACCTTAGGAAGTATACTATAGATCTTATGCCGTGGTTTCTTTTGCTCATTTGGTCTCAAAGCTGCTACAACTTCCTTTTGCATATTTATATTCTAGTCTAGGGGTCCCCAAACTAAGGCCTGTGGGCCAGATGCAGCTTTCTAAAGTCATTGACCTGCCCCCCACCCTAAACTTTAGACAGGATCGCCCTAACTCTGAAACAACATGAAAGTTCACAACAACAGTTCTAATTACCTTGACTATCTTATCAGCCAAAAGCAGGCCCTCACTTCCCACTGAGGACCCCTATTCTAGTCCCACTCACATCATGTAACATTTTTCAGTGTTTCCCGGATATATGACTAATCTATTATGTCTCCACACATCAATATGCTTGTACATCTTCCATATATGCCATTTTTTTAGCATGCCAAGAATTTCCTTTAGAAGATTTCCTAGAGAAGGCCAGCTGAAAAGAACAAGCATTCCAGATTCTATCTAGGATTCATTCTAACTACTGTTCCTTTATGATATCTTTAAGTTGCATCTTGTAATATCTTTAAGATGCTTTAACATTGAAAATGCCAATATATGTAATAAAAGACAGCAAGATAATTTTGTGTATAAATTAAAAGTACAATGAAGCCATGCTCTTTTAATTAACAACTGAAACTTCAGTAAAGTTGGGCAGGAAGCTCAGCAACCTAAGAACCACAACTGAGAAATCCCTCTTCTGACTGGCCAGTAAATTGCATCTTTGATGGTGATGGAATAAGTACAGGGTTGGATCTAATGTTTTTGTCCTCTTCACTGAAGGGACATATATTCATAGAAGGAAAACTTCACACATGAAAGAAGCAGGAACAGAAAACTCTTTTTGCAAATGGAACAAAAACATTGGAAGCCAGCTATTGTTTGCAAATTTCACCAATGCTGCTATAAACATTCAACATAGTCATTTTATTCCAGCTGGTTGCATATAACCAGTTCATTGTGAATTCCAAGTTGTAGCTCTTAATCTTCCATTAAATATATAAAATAATGTTTATATAGTTTAGTTGTCCAAGATCTTTTTGCTTGTCATAAAGTCTGTCTGAGAACTTTATCAGAGTATAGAATTATTCTGGAGTATAAGGCAAACCTCATCAAAATACCTGCTGAATTATTTGAAACTAATTTTGTTGTAGGCAGTATATATGAAATATGAGGAGATTATTGTTATATGTAACAAAATCAACAAGATACTGCTATGAAAAGTATGTCTTGGTTTAATTTTCATATTTTTTTCTAGTAATATGATATCAGTCCTTCATTTAGTCTTTCAGAAATGCTTTGAAATTTTTAGACTAGTTGTGACATTGTACTTGAAATGCAGTATGAGAAGATTTTTATATTGCTTATTTTATCAGGTCACCCAGAAATCTTCCCTTTGGTCCTTACTGAAAAAACCCAGGAAATATTTAACTGCCGGGCTGACAAAGATGTCACAGCTGAAAATCCTCATAAACTTGTGAAAAAAGAGGACATCATTAATGATATGAAGGCAAGAGCTGCCATTTCTGACTTCCACCCAATCAAAAAAATTATCTTGGTAAGTTGCCCTTCCTTTCAGATAAATATCACAAAATCTTCTTCTCTTTGAATGTCTCAAAGTAGGGCACTGCATCAAGGGGATAAGGATGGTGAGCCCAGGAGATTAAAGAAAATCCAGAGAAAACTTCCAACTGGCTGACCTTTTTGAAGAATTCAGTATTCAGCATGGGATGAGTAATGATGACCTAAAAAAAATATTATTGGGGAAAGTTAATTATTTTTGTACTACCAGGACCCCCAGCTAGGTTGACCAATGGCTGTACTGGTTATGGGTTCTAGGTCCATAATAATAATAATAATAATAATAATAATAATAATAATAATAAATCTATTTTACCCGCCTTTCCCCGTGGCTTGAGGTGGGTTACAATAACAATGTTATAAGTAAAAACATGGACACTGCAAAAATTCAACAAGTATACATATTTCTAAAAAAGATCCACATTAAAACTACTTTGCTAGAAAATAAATATAACAGTACACAAAACAGACATCAAACAAAGAACACAAGTTTAAGATTCATAGTTAAAAACTGCGGAGGCCTCCAGAAGAGATGTCTCTTTAGATGGTTTTTAAATTCCGACTGCTGATCTACTTGTGAGAGCTCTCCTGGCAGGTCATTCCAGAGTCTTGGGATGGCCGATGAGAAAGTCCTCTAGTTGGTGATCACCAGTCGAGTTCTGGGAGGCTGGAGCAGATGCCCCACAGAGGACCTCAATGTTTAGGGCAGATTGTACAGGAAAAGGTGATTCTGAAGGTAACCTGGACCCAACATATGTAGGGCACTAAAGGTCAAAACCAACACTTTGTACTTTGCCCAGAAACTAATTGGCAGCCAGTGGAGTGACCTAAGGATAGGTGTGATGTGCTCACTCCTAGATGTTCCTGTAACCAATATGGTTGCTGTATTTTGAATCAACTGGAGTTTCTGCACTTGGTACAAAGGTAACCCAATGTAAAATGCATTGCAGAAGTCCAACCTTAAGGTTACGAACACATGTACTACCATCTTTAGGTCTTCCAAATCTAGGAAGGGGCATAGCTGGCATATTAACCACAGCTGGTAGTAAGGGCTGTCTTTTGGAGAGATGGATCCAGGAGCACTCCCAAGCTGCAAACACAATCTTTCAGGAGGAGTGTAACCCCATCCAGAACTGGTTTACACACCTCCATCCCCAGATTAGGATCCTTGATAGCAAACACCTCTGTTTTGTCTGGATTCAATTTTATTTTTTTCCTCATCCAGCCCATTACCTCCTCCAAGCATTAATTCAGAGGAGACATGCTATCCTTAGCTGATGCTGTTTTGGAAGGCATGCAGAAATCTATCTGGGTGTCATCATCATACTGATAATGCCCTGCACCATGCCTATGGATAATCTCTCCCAGCAGCTTCATGTAAATATTAAAGAGCATTGAAGATAGAATGGTACCTTGTGGGATACCATATAGCAGCTCTGCTTTGGAGGAGAAGCTATCCCCAAGCCCCATCATCTGAAACCTGCCTGAGCGGTACGACCAGAACCACTGCAACACAGTGCCTCCAATGCCCAGCCCTCCCAAGCATTTCAGAAGGATACCATAGTCAATGTTATAAAAGGCTGCTGAGAGATCTAGAAGCACCATCAGGGACATGCTCCCCCTGTTGGTGTTGAGATAGAGATAATCCACTAAGGTGACCATAGCAGTCTCAACTCCGTGTCCTGCTCTCTGTGTCCTGCTCTGGAGCTGGTTTGAAATAGGTCAAGGAAGTGTGTGTTATCCAAGACTGCCTGGAGTTGGAGGACAACTGCCTTCTCATTCACCTTGCCCAAAAGGAGAGGTTAGACACTGGTTTGTAATTATTAAGGTCCAGGGAGGATTTCTTCAGCAGTGGTCTAACTACTGCTTCTATTAAAAAAAAATCCCTTTCCTGAGAGATGCATTAATAATGTCTTGTATTTGAGATCAAATTGCAACTCCTCCCTGGAATGGAGTCAAGGAAATGGGTCAAGGAAGTGCGTGTCATCCAACACTGCCTGGAGGTGGAGGATCTGTAGTTACTAAGATCCTGGGGATCCAGGGAAGGCTTTTACAGGAGTAGTCTAAATACTGCTACTTTTAAACAAGAGGGAAAATTCCCTTTGCTAAGAGATGCATTGACAATTTCTTGTACATGAGATTTAATCTTCTCCCTGGACAACCAGCCAAGAGAGACAGGGATCAAGAAAGCAGGTTGTCCTCCTTACTTACTCAAGTGGCTTGTTCACATCAACAGTACTCACCAATTGAAACCGATCCAGTGTAATTCCACTTGTAGAGTTACTGGACACTTCATTGTTGACTTCTCCTCCAATGGCATCATCTAAGTCTGCTCTTATGCAAAGGATTTTATTAAAAGCACCACAGTGGGCTGCTGAAGGTTCTAGCAATGGGTTCAGAGGGGAGGGAACCTGGGTTAAGCCTCTCAGCACTCTGAACAGCTCAGCTGGGCATTAATCTGCAGGCGCAATGCGTGCAGAGAAGAAAGCTTTCTTTGCTGCACATTTTGCCACCTTAAAGGAGCAAAGGTGCCCTCTATACCATGTCTTGATGCATAAAAGTTGAGTTTTTCACCATCTGCGCTCCAGTCGTATTTCCCAACTCTGGAAAGAGGTCAGCTGGCCTTAGCTGTCCAAGGAAGTCTCCGTTTCTGAAACAGGGCTAGATGAAAAATAACAGCTGATAAGTCTTCAAACTAATCAACATTAAAATAAAGTCCACTTGAAATCTTGAATTGTTTGTAATTACACAGGATTACCCTGGAGAAGAACTTCTGATCATATTTGATAGAGAGCTAAAATATGGACAGAGCTTTTATCTTATTGGAACGGAAGAGGCCAAGGAGAGTATTTTGAATGTAAGTCATTTTGAAACTGCATTGACATTTATTTCACATATGCCTGATAGCAATCTTGTGAGTAGAAATTGTTGAGACTGATATGATGTAAGACCACTTGAATAGTTTGTTTATTTTTATTTATTAAATATTTGTGCACCATCACTTTTGCAATTATTTCCCCTGACAGCCTCCAGAGGAAGAGGAAGATGAAGGAGAAGCTAAAGAGGGGGTCCAAGAAGAATATGTTTATAAGCCTCCAGTGCGCAAACCTTGGATTTCTTTGGGAAGTGAGAAGGAAATTGAAGAAGAATCATTTAAGGAATCAAGAAAAATGGTCAGAACTCTTACCTATATTATTCAGTCCTAATGTATCTAATATCTTGTTGAGCAATTACAAATATGAAACCTAGACTTATACATTAACCATTTGGTATTCATGTTTGCGGTTGTGGTAAGATTTGGAGTGTTGGGTCAGGGGATTATACAAAGTTGCACATTTTAACTAATACAATGGTGCAAGGTCTTGGCCATGTATTGTATGTCTACATTAAACAAGAGTATTGCAGGCATTACTTCAGAAAGTTATAAGGAATAGCAATATTTCTTTGATTATCCCACCCATATCTGCACCTCAGAGTTTCCCACATGAGAAGGAGGGTGCTGTTGCAGTTATATCCTGCTTGTAGGTTTCCCACAGACAATTGGTTAGTCACTGTGTGAATGTAAGGCTCAACTAACCAGCCCTTTGGGTCCGATCCAACACTGCTCTTCTGCGGTTCTCAGGGTTTGATTTCATGAGCCACAAAGAGAACTGAACAATAAGCCATCTTCAAAAGTGTGAATCAATTCTTAGAAAAATCCATGTGATGATTTACAGAAGAGAGATTTTAGATATATTCTTCAAAATATGGCCGGAATACTTGGAAACCCCCAAAATTTCTATAACAAATATATCCTCAAGATAATCAAAATAGCCTATATAGATTCTCCCTACCTACACTTGACTTTTCAGTATTTTGTTATATTCATATTCTCTCTGCTGATAATTGTATACTTATTTGTATTTTAGAAGTCATCCTGCATGACATAATGGGATAGATTTGTCTTCAGTTTACAACCCTCCAGCTTGATTAGCTTTGAATAGCCTTGCAGCTTCAAAGCCTGGCTGCTTCCTGTTTGTGGGAATTTGAAGCTGCAAGGCTATTCAATGCTAATCAAACTCTGCAATGCTAACACCTCCAACAAAGGATTCTCCCAGATTGGAAACATCTAGGCTTTGAACCTGCAAGTCCATTCAGTGCTAATCAAGGTGGCCAATTGCAACATTCACACTTGCTTCAAACAAGTGTGCTTTCTCCCACCCTGGACATTCCACAAATATATAAACCCAATTTGCCTGGTTCCCAACAGCCCTCACAACCTCTGAGGATGCCTACCACAGATGTGGGCAAAATGTTAGGAGAGAATGCTTCTGCAACATGACCATACAGCCCAGAAAACTCACAGCAACCCAGTGATTCTGGCCATGAAAGCCTTCAACAATGGAAGTAAACAGATTATTAAAAAGAGCAATCAAAAATAAGATAAAGAACCCTTACAATGCTGTTGTCAAACCATAATTCATCGAACAGACATTTCTGCAAGAAAAAATCCATTAAAAATATTTCCATTGAAATTGCAGATTAAGTACATGATATCTCGTCTACACAAAGAATTTGGAGCTCGGATTAAATTCCATAACAGAAATGCAACAACTGATAAACAAGGCTATGTGGAGTGTACATCTTATCAAGACAAAAACTTCAGTATTCGACAGCTTGAGAAACATCTAGCTATACAGGTAGTCCCAGAAGAAAGAGAGACAGGAACTCAGACAAAATGGTAAGGCTGAGACCTATAAAATCCCATTTTAATAATAATAAAGGAAATAATGTCTGTATTAATTAAGGACCAAATTAATTTCCATCCAATTCAGTTCAGTTTTGAGGCTTTGGTTGATTTTAGCTTGAGTTTTAGAGGGCTTTCATACCCGCATCATCAGCAAACAATGCTATCCAGTTGAGAATGTGCAAGTGAGAAACATAAATCAGACTAAGCATTAACAAGGAGATGTGCCATATAAAGAAGGATTGCCTGCCAAATGTTGTTGGGCTGTAACTCCCAATAGCCCTTGCCAACTTAGTCAATGGTGAAGAACGCAGGGACTCTTGCATTCAATGACATCTAAGGAGCGGGTTGCAGAAAACACACAATTGATGTAAAGTATTGTATCTGTTCCTGGCCTAAGTGTTGTCAATGCCTCTTTTATCTGTCAGATACTTCTCAAGTTTATTTCATCTCCTTTAGGACCTACCCCCGAAATGCAACCACGCAGTATCATCCTAGACTATTTTCAGATGAGGAAAGGGATAAATATTTGTTGTCAGAAGAGCTGAAAAACTTTACCCTAGATGTGGCTCTCAGGTTAGTATCACACTCTTGTTATGTTCAGAACTGTAAGCACGGTTTCATACAATTTCACAAAATGGCTTGATCATGCATAAATGGGCTACAGCTGACCCATTCAATCAGTTGCTGAATGGTGAGTTGACACATAGGTAAATCTTATTGATTCAATGGGTCACTTTTTCAATCTTTAACCTTTGTGAAATATGGGACTATTTCAGTTTGAGGGACTCTTAATTGATTCTGCACCAGTGGTTCCCAACTTTTTTTGACTAGGGACCACTTGATCAGGCACCACTTTGACCAGGAAACACTCTCCAACATTAGTACCAAAAGGGTCATAAATCAGTTTTGGTGAACTTGAGATTTGGTTTGGTTATTTTGGGTGCTGATTCAGAAAAGAACATTGGATAGACCACATCAAGGTCTATCAAGACTGTGGCAAGCTGGCTGGGAGTCAGCTGCATTAAAATCACTACTGACCGAAAGGTCATGAGTTCAAAGCCAGCCCAGGTTGGAGTGAGCTTCCGACCAATTTGTGTAGCTTGTTGTCGACCTTTGCAACCTGAAAGACAGTTGCATCTGTCAAGTAGGAAATTTAGGTACTGCTTATGGCTAATTTAACTAAATTTACCACACCATAAAAATCTCCAGCAAGCATGCAAAGAATGAGGAAGTACTTCATCAGTGTCACAAATGGACAGTGAAGCGACAGCTCTCCTGGTGGCCAGAATCCCCTCATGAAAAAGGTGGAATGTTAAATAGCCTCTGTGTGTCTTCTATATGTGGTGTGTCTATGAAATTGAATATTTGCCATGTATATGTACATTGTAATCTGCCCTGAGTCCCCTGCGGGGTGAGAAGGGCGGAATAGAAATACTGTAAATAAATAAATAAATAAATAAATAAATAAATAAATAAATAAAATCAGCTCTAGTTTCTGATACAGAACATATGCCATCCAGTAGTCGCCATCTGCTCGCCCACAAAAAACATATTTAATAATTTAGAGCTGATGTGGTATGTCCAAGGTGGCTGATCAGCAACAGGAAAGGAGTGGCAGGCAGCATGAAAGGAGCAGAAATAAAATAAAAAAAATTTAAAAAAAGGAAGGAGGCTTGTGGGCCACATTTTGGTGGTCAGCAGCTCACAAGTTAAGATTGGTTTAGAGTTGCACCACTATTTAGATTGGTTTAGCGTTGCATCAGTCTGTGGGTATCTATATAACACATGCTGGCTGATGTGATTCAGTCTATACAACACATGCAGGCTGATGTATCTGATCTCTGACAGCTCTACTTCTTGGATCCTCACCATTTGACTGGCCAAGGGAGCTTGGGGGAAACGGATGGAGGCTTCGCTTCTCCCAAGCTTCCTTGCTGGTCACATGGGGAGGGATCAGGACATAGAACTGCTAGAGATCAAGTACATCCTTCTTTTTTCTGTATTTTGAAGGAAAAATCCTGAGTGCTCTCAAGAACCCCACCACCACATGGTTATGAACCATTTTTGGAAAACTCTTTTTTGGAAAACCCATGTGCTGGATGAATCAAAGGATATCAAACCAAGTGGTGGTATGGACAAATGCATAACAGCATGTGTGTTGTCATGGATTTACGGATAATGATGCATCAGATTTAACCTCTCAGTGTGTACTCACAAGTGCAAATTAGATAGTTGTATAATGCATTTTTGGTCTTTGTAGCTTTGACATGTAGATCCAGCCTAGGTGGTGTGTAGGAAAAAAATCTGCCCGCATCTGTGGGAAACAAATGTCAGCCAAAGTTGATGGTAATGAGTTAGATGGGCTAATGCTGTGACTCAGCTTGATGCAGCTTCCTGTGTTCCTTTGACAAGTAGCATCTGATGTTTATTTTTTTTATTTACTCATACACAGAACCGAAGTAGCACTGCAACAAAACGAGATCATGAATGCCTTTTATGATGACTGGAAAGCCCTTGCAGAAGACGAAACTGGCTTTGTGGGCAAGGCAGATGTTTACCTGAAGGAATTTCAGTCCTTTACAGATCTCCATTTTCTCAAGGATAGAACTGTTAGTTGCATCTGCTGGCATCCAACTATTTATGGTAATTTTCAGTTCATGATTAGAAACATAATAAGATGCATTTTGGAATTTTTACAAGGATTGATTTGTCAATGAAAAATTAATTTGTCTTGAGATGAGAAAGATTTAATAACAATGTTATACTATACTAGCTGTCCCCTGCCATGCGTTGCTGTGGCCTAGTCTGTTGATCTGGAAAATAAAGTAATGAGAAACTCTTGGTTTCTAATATATGTTATTTCTTTATGGGCTTGTGGGTAAACAGAATTTCTTGCTGTTTCTTTGTCAGTGTTGATGTGGAGAGTGTCTGGTTTGCCCACCCTGGAACATGCAAGATATCATTGTCGTTCTTTAAGGGTCCCTTTCAAATCTATGATACTATATCTGTGTGTGTGTGAATCATATCTATCTATCTATCTATCTATCTATCTATCTATCTATCATCTATCTATCTATCTATATCTATGCCTGGATGGCTCTTTGTCAGGAGGACTTTGATTACGTTTTCTTGCCCTGATGAAGGGAGTTGGATTGGATGGCCTTAAGTATTTTCTGTTGGTCATGGGGGTTCTGTGTGGGAAGTTTGCCCCAATTCTGTCGTTCGTGGGATTCAGAATGCTCTTTGATTGTAGGTGAACTGTGAATCCCAGTGACTACAACTCCCAAATGTCAAGGTCTATTTCCCCCAAACTCCATCTGTGTTCATATTTGGGCGTATTGAGTGCTTGTGCCAAGTTTGGTCCAGATCCATCATTGTTTGAGTCCACAGTGCTCTCTGGATGTAGGTGAACTACAACTCCCAAACTCAAGGTCAATGCCCACCAAACCCTTCCAGTATTTTCTGTTGGCCATGGGAGTTCTGTGTGCCAAGTTTGGTTCAATTCCATCGTTGATACAGTTCAGAATGCTCTTTGATTGTAGGTGAACTATAAATCCCAGCAACTACAACTCCCAAATGACAAAATCATAATTTTTTGAGTGATGGTCACTCCTTGTGTAGTGAGACATTTTGTTGCTGAATTTGGTGTGATTTCGTTCATTGGTTCTTTTGTTTTTAAGGTACTCATTATGCACAGAGCATTTATATATATATAGATGTAACAGATAATATTTGATAACATCTCTAACCAGGTTGCAGCAGTAGAGATGTATGAAATGCAAGTGAAATTGAGTGGTTACATCTGTGGTTTCTGCTTCAGTTCAGTTATGTCTTAAGAGGCAAAACACATGTTGCCTTGAATGTTACACTGCCATTGTGTGTCACAGGGCACTGAAAGCTCCTCTTTCCTTGTTTGATTGCCTTCCTTGGGAAGAAAACCTAAAATATTTGGTGCTTTCTTTTACAGAGAGATAATTAATAGGAGCATGATGAAGGCTTATACCAGCAAATAACACATTTTTAGACTAAAGGGGATTTTCTTTTCTCTAAACACTATACCATGCCTGTGTGCCATCATAGCTGCCATTTGAGATTGATTTATTTATTTATCGTGTCAGGCAACCAAACAGTTGTATTGCATTTTTGACAGAACAAACAAACATACAAAAGACACAGAGTTTGCAAGCTTGGTAGTTGATTAAATGTCCTTTGACCAGTATCTGGCCACTTGGAGTGCCTCTGGTGTTGCCGCAAGAAGGTCCTCCATTGTGCATGTAGCAGGGCTCAGGTTGCATTGCAGCAGGTGGTTAGTGGTTTGCTCTTCTCCACATTCGTATGTCATGGATTCCACTTTGTGGCCCCATTTCTGAAGGTTGGCTCTGCATCTCGTGGTGCCAGAGCGCAGTCTGTTCAGCGCCTTCCAAGTTGCCCAGTCTTCTGTGTGCTCAGGGGGTAGTCTCTCACTGGGTATCAGCCATTGATTGAGGCTCTGGGTTTGAGCCTGCAACTTTTGGACTCATTTGAGATGTTTAGAAAAGACATTTCATAATTCTCCATCTCTAGGGAGGAATTTGAAGCTTTTTTCTGATTTGAGGTTCTCCTCTTCCCAAATTATATTATGTGGTACAATGTTTGCCTCAGTTTTAAGAAACATGGCAGTGCTTTTTCCCCCTCAGGGATCTCTGAAGTTTGTGGGGTGGGCACTGAGAGTTGGTGGTACAAGTGCCAACCCATCATCTATAGATTGCAATCTCTGCTGATGAGTTTCAAGCCTTCTTGATAACAGCTCAGATGGATCCACTCAGAAACACTTGAATATGAGTGAGTCTAGCATTTAGAAACAAACTACATCTGCTCCAAAAACCAAAAAAAAACATTTAGTTTGTGGGTTGAGGGCTGCCTAAACATATGGAAGAATGTGATCTTATAAACAAAGAGCAAAAGAATATTTCAAAACACAAATCTCCCAATTGAGCCTGACAAGAATATGTTAACATGAAGGCACATGGCACCCCTAAGTGTCAGGACAGCAAGAAAAGGAAGCTGGGCCTTTTAACAATTTATAATTGGGTATTGTAGGCTCCTTCTACCCTGCCATATAAAATCCAGATTAACTACTTGAACTAGATTATATGGCAGTGTAGACTCATATAATACAGTTCAAAGCAGATAATGTGGGTTATCTACTTTGATAATTTGGGTTATATAGCATTGTACAAGGGGCCTTAGAGAAGGAGGGAAAGGAAAGGGAGAGATATTTGGGGGTGAAAGGTTCCTCTGGGCTACAGAGTGGTATCTGTTTCCCCACTTGGCAGACTTGCTCCTCCATGCAAAACTTCTAAAATGATGCAACTCAGACCTGCCTTCTAATGCTATGTATCCCAATGGAGGAAACATGGAGGGGTGCAGGAAGTTGAGGCAGTATTACCTTCCTTTCCTAAAATGTTCACTTCTGAGAAGAATAAAAGGCATGCTTATTAAATGTGCAGATCATACCAAATTGGGAGGGGTAACTAATACACTAGAGGACAGAATTTCTTAATAAATTAGAGAGCTTGGCCAAAACTACACTCCTTACAAAAATTTTACTGTTCCAGATTGGTGCCAGCAATTAATAGCGTCATTTCTCTTATGGCCTAACATCTGCTTTATATAATAACAGATAATTATTTATAACTCCTCCTTTATTTTTTTTCCATGTCAGGAGCAACTTGAGAAACTGCAAGTTGTTTCTGGTGTGAGAAAATTGGCCGTCTGCAAGGGTGTTTCCCATGGAATGCCCAGATGTTTTGATGTTTTACCATCCTTGTGGGAGGCTTCTCTCAGGTCCCCGCATAGGAAGCTGGAGCTGACAGAGGAAGCTCATCTGCGCTCTCCCAGGATTCAAACATCTGACCTGTCAGTCTTCAGTCCTTCTGGCACAAGGGTTTAACCCATTGCACAGGGGGCTCCATACCCTCCCTGTTATAATATTCAAACTCGAAATAAGACAGTGAGGCTGACTGGGAGTAAGTTCAGTACAGAGGGAAGAAGGGAGAGCTTTCTAATAATGTTTTATTGAGTTACTGAATTCAACCCAAGAAGCATTGATGAGTGTTAGCATTGAATATGCAACTCTTCTAAAAGTGCTTTGCTAATTATTTCTGACTCTGCCCATTTGGGATTTGACTTTGGATGTGACATTAAAAGACCCAAATGAAGAAAAAAACAACCCTACGTCATTGTTGCAAGTAGAATTTTATTTTATCTTTGACCAGGGATCATTGCAGTGGCAGTAACAGAACGCCTCAGTTATGAAGACCGAGTGCAACAATCTGGGAAATTACTCTTGTGGAAAGCACCAATTCTGTTTTGGAGTTTTACAGATCCTATTCACCCTCAGGTATTGAATAAAAGCACTTTCATGTTTCAGAGGTGTTTGAACAACAAAGCAGCAATCAAATGCAACATAAAGCTGTACTCAGATCTGACATATATATTTTTCTTACCCACTGTTTTTGATAAATATATTTTCTAGCTAATGCTGGAATGCCCTGAAGATATCTACTGCTTTGAGTTTTCTCCAAGTAATCCCAACATCATTGCAGGAGGCTGTATGAATGGACAGGTATGAAATCTATTCATTTTCCCTTCGTTCTCTTTCTTATATTTACACTTTCTACCTATGGTGTCTATATCTAGTAGTAGAAGAACATGATGCAGACATTATAGAGAATGTCATTGTATATAATGGGACTTCAGCATCCATGGATTTTGATATCGATTAGGTGTCCTGGATCCAAACCCTATCAGGTACCAATGGCCCACTGTATATTAAACTCTTCTATGGTGCACCTGAAGTTTAGATTAACTCTAAACTTTTATATCAGATGTTTCAAGATGAGTAAAATGTGTGTTAGGTCTTCCGGATTATCACGTAAGACCACTCAGAGATGTAGAACTTTTTAAAAACTCTTTGTTTTCTCACTCCAAAACTCCAGAATACATTGTCACATATAACCTGAACAAACCCACATTGTACAATGCATTCTGTAGAAGAGACACAGTTCAGCCTTCTTTCACGCAGCAAACATGTCAGCCAAGCAGAGCAATTTACCAGCTAAGGTCTCAACCTCTCTCTTTCCCCCTTCTAGATTGTACTGTGGGACATTACAGAATACGAAGAGAGGTTGCAAAATGCAAGGTCAGGCACAAGCAAAAGCACCACAATTAATATGGTTAGTACCTAATTCCATTTATCATTCATGTAATGAACTTCCTAATGACTGTTTGCCATTTTTGAATGATTCACACAAGGCACAAATGAATTAAACCACCAATTAATCTGAAGGCTCATTTTGTTGGACCCAGATGGAAGAATTAAAATAGACTTATACTCCATATCAATGATCTCTTTTGTGAAAGTTGGAAAAGTAATTGCTTGGGTCATAAATTAACAGAATAATCCCAATTGTATCTATTCAGAATAGATGGGAAATTTTACCATTGGAAAAA